ATAAAATTTAAAAAAGAAAGAAAGAAATGGGGCACTGCAGTTATAATCCAACTTCACTTCAGCTCCACTAGGGGGAGCTCTCAATGTACTCTCTCTTCCCTTAGATGCGGTGCTTGATTCCACACTGGGATTAGTGCAGTCCCCAGATACCAGCCTTATGAAGTCTGGCCATAGTATCTGACCCAAGTGGCAGCAAAGATTTTAGAGAAGCTAGGAAGGGGGACATGAAGCTGATATTTGAGGTCCTATGCTATGCTACAGTCTCACTGTGATCCTTAGAATGAGCCTATGCTATAGAAAAGCTTTGTCTTTGTTGTATGTGCACAGATGGGACTTGGATTCATCACTAGCCACTAATGCTCTGAGCTTTGTTTCCTCACTCATTCCTACACAGTTGCTGTCATAAGTCAGGTCCTGGACAAATATTCAGAACTGTGGAGTACTTCTGACTTCACCGTATTTGCTAGTCAGTAAGGTAGTTCACCACAGTTTACGATGTGGGCATAAAACCCTGGACTCTCGGTTTGGAGGTCAAAGGAGGCTGTTAGGTAGTGTGAGCTTTGTGTTTGCACCAGTTCCTACATATGCACGCTATTTGGGAGGGATCTGGATCTGCATCATAGCCCAGAAAAATCTCAGATCAGGGCACCCAAACCTTGTCTAGAGTTGGACAGTAAACAAACCCTTCCCCTCTTATAATTTTTTTTTTTTTTGGTTGGTCGTGGGGCTTGAACTCTGGACCTGGGCGCTGTCCCTCAGCTCTTCAGCTCAAGGCGAGCGCTCTACCACTTGAGCTACAGCGCCACTTCCGGTTTTCTGGTGGTTTATTGGAGATAGGAGTCTCATGGTCTCTCCTGCCCGGGTTGGCTTTGAACCGCGATCCTCAGATCTCAGCCTCCTGAGTAGCTAGGATTACAGGCGTGAGCCACCAGCGCCCGGCTCCCTCTTATAATTTTAAGTTATGTGTTACAGTCCCTTTTGTGCTAGTATAACAGACTCTCTGAAATGGGGTAATTCATAATCAATTGAAATTTATTGGTCCACCATTCTGGAGGCTGAGAAGTAGTTACACAGTTTGTCTCAATATTAATATTTATAGCTTGTTCTCCTAGCTACAAATTCTGTGAGGGGTAGACCTGGATTTGTATACTTGGTGATTCCTATGCCAGTTCTCTCTGAAAATAGAATGGGTGGATGAACATGTCAGGGATTGTTCTCAGCACCAATCTGCATTCACAGTTTCTTTTCATGTCCCCTGTACTGGTGCAGGAAGGGACTTTCAATACAGTCATGGAGAGGCAAGTTTGAAGAAGCAGTGAGCTTTGCTAGTTCTCAAGCCTTGCTCTTATTATTTAGCATTGTAGAGACCTTTATTTTTTTCCCTGGAGAATCTTTATACTTTATCTTAACCTATGTTATATATGCATATATGCATATTTGACTTTAACCTATGTTATACACAGGCACATATGTGCATACACACACATATATGGACATATATGGATGTATACTGTGGTATTGATACTGTGATACTGAGGTTTGAAGTTGCTAGGGAGGTGTTCTACTATTGGAGCCATGCCTCTGGTCCTTTAGCTTTTTCAGATAGGGTCTCACACTTGCCCGTGGCTGATATTGGAATGTTATTCTCCTACCTCTATCTCCCATAGAGATGGGACTATGGGTAGCCTTCTGGTCCTGGGGCTTCAACTCAGGTGTTGCCCCTTGAATTTGCTTGCTCAAGGCTCATACTCTACCACTTGAGCCACAGCTCCACTTTTAGCTTTTGGGTGGTTAATTGGAAACAAGAATTTTGTGGACTTTCTTGCCTGGGCTGGCTTTGAGCCATGGTCCTCAGATCCCAGCTAGGATTACAGGTGTGAGCCATTGACACTTGGCTCACCTAAAAACATTTTATTTTTCCTGAACTGTAAGTCCTTCCCTTCCCTTTTTCTGCTCCCTGGCTCTCCTAGCTCCTTGGCTCTCCCCAGCTCCCTGGCTCTCCCCAGCTCCCCACCTCCCCTCCCTCCCTCCCTCCCTCTCTCCCTCCGGGCCCTCCCTCCCTCCCTCCCTCCCATTGTCATGCAAGGTCTTGAGCTTGCTACACAAGCCCTCTTAAGGCTGAGCTATATCATTAGTCCCCAAAATGTTTCTTGAATGAAACAAGGAATGTTGGGTGAGACTAGACCAGCCTTATGTTACTTTCATCATATATTGTTTTTATTTAAATTAGTAAAGTTTTTAGAGCAGTTTTAATTCCACAGCAAAATTGGGCAGAAGGTGGTGTTACCATGTATTTTCTGTCTCATGCCCATACAACCTCCCACTACCAACATCTCCACATTACAATAGTATATTTGTTAACAACACATTACTCTACACTGATAATCAGCAATACTCAGAGTCCACAGTTTATATTGGCTGTATTGAATTTTGTGAGTTTAGACAAGTGTATAATACCATGAATCTACCATTGTGGTATCATACAGAATAATTCCACTGCCCTGAAAATCCTCTCTGCTCTGCTCAATTGTCTCAACCTCTGACAATCACTGTTGTTTTTTTTCTTTTTGTCTCTGAAATACTATATAATTGAAATCATGCAATATAGTAATTTTAGTTTAGCTTTATTCCCTTTTTCATAGATATTTAAGTTTCCTCCATGTCTTTTCATGGCTTGGTAGGTCATTTCTTTCTAGAACTGTACAGTATTCCACTGTCCTAAGACTAAAGGGTATCTTGATTGCTTCCAAGTTTTGGCAATGAAAAATGAATTTGTCACCAACAACTTTATACAGGTTTTTGTGCAGATACATTTGTTGTTGTTGTTGGTTGTGGGGCTTGAACTCTAGACCTGGGCACTGTCCCTCAGCTCTTCAGCTCAAGGCGAGCGCTCTACCACTTGAGCCACAGTGCCACTTCCGGTTTTCTGAGTGATTTATTGGAGATAAGAGTCTCAGGGACTTTCCTGTCTGTGCTAGCTTTGAACTGCAATCCTCAGATCTCAGCCTACTGAGAAGCCAGGATAACAGGCATGAGCCACTAGCACCTGGCTATATTTCTTCATTTGGTATGGATAAATACCAATGACCACAACTGCTGGATAAAATGGTATAAAGTAAATTTAATTTTGAAGGAAACTACAAGTCTTCTAAAGTACTTGTACCATTTTTTCATTTAAATGATGACATAGGATATGGGAGCATTTTCCATATGCTTTTATGAGATATATATCGCTTTCTTTGATGTCTGTTAAAGTTTTTGATCCATTTTTAAACCAGGTAGTTTTACATTCTTATTCTTTAGTTTTACGAGTAGTTCATGGAAGTGGCACTGTGGCTCAAAGTGGTAGAGCACTAGACTTGAGCAAAAGAGCTTGGGAACAGTGCCCTTTTAAAGAAATTAACAGAGGATAATTTTATAGATTATAGAATTCTAGGGTGCATAATTTCTCTCCTTCCTCTCAAGTAAATATTTTACTTAGAACTAATTTTGCTTGTATGGTTTCTGGAAGTCAGATGCATTTGTTATCTTTGTTCCTCCTTTGCTTTTCTTTTTCAAGAGGGCCTTCCCCCCCCCCCCCCCTCCGCGCTTTATTTTGGCATTTATCCTTCTTGCTGTTTTTGTTCTTCCTGAAGTTATGGTTTGATGTCTGACATTAATGAGGGGTACTTTTCTCCAATGATCAGATACCTTGTTTTCCCCATTTTCTTCCAATTCCTTCTCTCTCACTACATTTATATCGACCTTGGTAGTTATACTGAGTTTTTGGATGAGTTTTTCCCAGTCTTTCTCTCTTTGCATTTCACTTTTGGTAGTTGTTATTGCTGTAGTGTCAAGCTTAGACATTCTTCCCTTGGCTACGTACAGTCTCCTAAGGAGGCCAAAGGATGTTCTTCACTTCTGCTACTCTTGCATTCATTTCTGGGTCACTACCTTTTCTTGTTAGTTAGTTGTTAGAATTCCCCTCTCTGCTTAGATTGTCTTATTCTCACACATGGCCTGCTTTTTGTAAGGCCTTAGCATTTAAATTGTAGTTCATAAAAATTTTCTGATCTGATAACTCCCAATTTTATAGCCACAATGACTTGTTCTGATAATTATTCAGTGCCTTGTAATTTGTGTGTGTGTGTGTGTGTGTGTGTGTAACATTGTGGGTAAGGTATCGGGAGCCAGGAAGCATTCATCTTTTTGGAGTCTGTATTCCTGTGAATGTCACTAATGCTTAGGAGTTGCACCTCCCGCTCAAGTGGGGTAGGAAGGGTAGAGGATGCTCACGGTGGGTATTTCCCCTTCCTCAGGTAGATTAGGCTCTGGTAAATCAACTTCTAATGAAAGATCAGAATGATCTTTAGTGTTTGAAAATGGGTCTTCCATTCCCACCACTTCCAGAAAGCACAAAGTGAATTCCTCAGTGTTCACTACAAGGACTGAATAGAACTCCTGGTGTTAATAAACTTACATGAGTGTGAACCCTCGCTCTCTGCCCTGCTCATTGAGAGTACTCCCAAGAGTGAGGACTTCTCCACTGTGAGCCTTCAGCAGTTTGTCAACTACCCTTTACATTTTCCTACCCATAGTTCCCATTCTGGTAAGCTGTGATTACTGTATTTTCCTTTCTTTGGAACAGCATTCAACCTTGTGATTTCATTTCTCTAAGAACTGTTGCTGGGCAATGGTGGTTCACTTCTTTAATCCAATCTACTTAGGAGGCTTAGATCTAGGATTCAGGTTTGAAGCCAGCTCATGAGGGAAAGCCCATGAGACTCTTATCTCCAATTAACTATCAAGACAAAACCAAACCAAACCAAACCAAAAGCTGGAACTGGAGCTGTGGCACAAGTGGTAGAGTGCTACCCTTGAACATAAAAGCTCAGGGGACAGCACCCAGGTCCTGAGTTCAAGCCCTAAGACTAGGGCACACCCACACAGCACACAGGAATTACTGATTTTTCTTTCAGTCTTTTTTCCTTGTTTTCTTCATTTTCTTTCTTCAGATGAAGGAGGAACCTGAGACGGAGAAGGTGTTCACAGCACGTTGCCGAGCAAGTGTGACATTCCAGACAAGTGGAGAGTCATGGAGAGAGCAGAAAGAGAAGCGAGCAGCCATGATGGTGGGGATTCTGATTGGGGTGTTTGTGCTGTGCTGGATCCCCTTCTTCCTCACAGAGCTCATCAGCCCTCTCTGCGCCTGCAGTGTCCCCCCAATCTGGAAAAGCATCTTTTTATGGCTTGGGTACTCCAATTCTTTCTTCAACCCCCTGATTTACACAGCATTTAATAAGAACTACAACAATGCCTTCAAGAGTCTCTTTACCAAGCAGAGATAAAAAGAGCTGGAGAAAAACATGTGTGCTGTTGTATTTCTTCTCACCAATGATGTAGAAGCCGTCCTTTCACAGCTGAACACGAATGATGTTCTGAGAGTCAGACCACTGGGCCTGGACTGTAGAAGCAATGTTAAATAAAGGCTCTCACACAGACAGCAAATGTATGACAATGTGCAACTTTGCCTTCTACACATGTGCTTACCTAGGTACACGGCCGACGTTACTAATTGATCATGGACTACTTTCCTAGTGAGCAGAAACCCCACCTCTTAATTTTCTCAGAACAACACCTTAGGTGGTTACTAATTGGTTAGAACTGATGCAAACATCAAAGCTGAGCTGCATTCTCTTTGTCTAACAGCATGTTCCTCAGTGAGGGTCTATCAGGCCCATCAGGAGACTGTCACCTTGTGAACGACCTAGCTACCCTTTTCAACCAGACTCAACTTGACTTTCTCAGCTTCTTAACACATTCCCAACAAGATTGTGTATCTCAATTCATAAGATGAGGATAATCTAGTGCAATTTATATTACTGAGTCAGATTCTTAAAGAGGAGGTCTGATGATATAGTACCATGGTCTTAATGGTTTTTTTTAAACTAGTGGGGGATGCCACTGGATACTTAGGTTGCTCTTTGGACTAGTTAAATTAGAATTAATTCCTGGAAAGTGATATAAGCAGCAGCAGGGTGTGGCCAGAGGTGAGAACTCCTGGTGAGGTCTTCTCTTTCTCTCTGTGGTGTGTGTGCGCGTGCACATGCACGAGCAAGTCCCAGGGCTAGAACTGTCTGGCTGCTGTCCCTGAGCTTTTGTGCTCAAGGTTATTACTCTACCACTTGATTCACTCACAGCTCTACTTCCAGCTTTCTTGGTGGTTAATCGGAGGTAAGTCTCATAGATTTTCCTGTCCAGGCTGGCTTGGAGCCACATTTCTCAGATCACAACCTCCTGAAGAGCTAGGATTTATAGGTCTAAGTTACTGGTGCCTGGCTTCGCTCTGCTTCTCTACCAAAGGGATAGCAACTATGAGAAATTTCCCATTTGAATGTCTAATAAAAATACTTTTGAGGCATTCTTTCCTAGGCTCTGAATCATTTTCTTCATGACACACATAATAAAATGCAAAAAATGATGCTTGCTGTAGGACTCAAGAATACCACCAACAAAAACTCTATGTAACTACTGAACATGTTTGTACCTACAAGCTATCTCTTGCTACATGCCCATGGCTCATCTGGGGTTTCGCTATTCTTGATTACTCTTCTGAGCTTAGGTTGGAAGTTTGGGTTATGTCTACGACTCCATGTCCCCCATATATACTTACAGCCAGCAAAGAATGACCTGCTCAAAAGAGAAGAGCAAGGGAGGAGTCAAGCCAAACATATTTTCAGAACACACAGGCAAGTAAAAGTCTGAAACCAATGGATGGAGAATTATACTAGAGGCCTCTCCAATGGGATATATGAAGAATAAATGAGCTAGCACTCAAAATTTTAAGGGAGAATGTGAACAAAACAGAACAAAACAAAACAGTTCAGTGTAATACAAGAACTCTTGTGGAAGTTGTTTCAGTTGCATTTTCACCTGGCTTATTACAATGGCCACTTAACAAGGTTCCCTGGTTGTGCCCCTTACGGTCTGCAGTGAACAAACAACATCACATGCTATTTGCTCTGCCTAGAACCTTCCTCACCCACGTCTCTGTCTTTGATAGGTATCTTCCTTAGCTTCTGAGTAAAAGGAAGACATTATAGACCAAACTAGACACTCGATCCTTCTTCCTAGCTTCACTCATCATGTTGAAGCAGCAAATGCTCTTATTTGTTTTACCACTAAAAGGGGGTTTTACTAGTTTCTCTAGTGCATCAGTCTCTGCTGAAGTCCCAGTGCTGGAGATAGAAAGTCATATTTTGTTGGCTGAATGAACCAGTTAACAATTGATTTTTTTTCTCATAGAAGAACATGGAGGTAAGTGGACCTCATGGTGGTTCACACTTCTCATGCCTTTAGGGAAGCAATTCTTTCCATCTTTTCACTCTGCTTACTAGTATGTCAGTATGTCTTAAGGTCTCAGGATGGCTGAAGTTGCTCAAATCTTGTCCTTTCCTCCATAACTTGAGAAAACAGGAAAAAGAGGCAGAAGTTTTATTGTCATTGGCAGAAAACTCTTTGCTAGAGGGCTTATCAGTCTCTTATAGCCATATTAGGGTTAGACACCTGTCTGTAAATTAATTCTTGGTAAAGAGGAGGAATGGAATTGATATAACTCCTTTAGAAGAACTCTCATTACTCCTTTCCTGCAACTGGACAAAACAATTGTACTGAAGGAGAGAAACAGGATTTCCCACCTATTGGCAGATTTCCTTACAAGATGGGCATGCTAGCCTGTGACCCACATGTCTTTTGTGGGCACCTAGATAACACTGTGATAGTCACAAGAGCAGGCATCAATGGGACAGCCTCAGTCTGTTGTCAGGACCCAGCTTCACAGTCCATTTCCCCATCCCTCCTTGTAGTCAACATACACAACACACACAAGTGTTTCACCTCTCCAAAGCTCTTCAACCAAAAGAGGCACGGCCCACTGTCCTCAAGACCCACACAATGGAGTCTAGCTGCCTCTGACTCAAAACTTTACCTTCTTTATGAAAACTGACAAGAAACCAGGAGCTTCTTCCATTGTTTTTTCAAAAAACTGAAGCAAATTAAAATTTTAAAAACTTTATTTTTGAAGAGATAATATATGCACGTGTACACAATTCAAAAGGTACAAAAGGCATACAGTGAAGTCACTCCCACCCCTCTTCCCAGAGGCAAGGAAGGCCACCAAGTTGTTGTGTAACTTCCCAGAGATACTCGTCTACTTGCATATGTAAGTAGATGTCACTGACACACATGAGCATATGTAGACACACACACACACATACATACACCTACACACATGCACTGACCCATTCTTTTCCATTCCAAACACTGCTATACAATACTCAGCATTCCCACTCCCCCCACTTCACCATGCAGCCTGAAGATTATCCTATGGCCCATATACACAGAGCAACTCATAGGGAATGGCCGTAATTTATTTCACTGCTGAGGAGAGTTTTCAACTTTTTGCAGTAAACAATGCTTCGGTAAAAATCCTTGTGAGTGGGAACAATTGTTAGACATGGTATTGCTGGTTGTGAAATATGTTGTCCAGCTGTCCTCCATGGAGGCTGTTAGTCTCACGATTCTGCCAGTGCCGCACTGTACTGTGTGCTTCCTGAAGCCTGTCCCACTGCTTGGTTTCATGTGACTGAGACATTTCTACCAGTCAAGTTACCTTCAGATTCATGAAAAATCTGGAGACAAAACATATTCACGATCTTATCTGAAAATAGTATTTTCCCTTTCTGTTTTCCTCCTATAGAGGGAGGAAAAAAGTTTCTATAATGTAATTCCTTCAAAAAGTCTGAAAACTCTTGACACCATTTTCCATTTCAACCTTCAAGGTTAGAGAATAATAAACACACCGAGCAAGAGCTGCTAAAGATGCTGAATAGAATTGCTGACCTATTTCAAACTAAGCATAAATTAGAGGAAAGGTTAAATCTAAAATTGGCTACTATAGGGATGCAAAGCTGCAATCTGGAGAAGCCAATTTATCCAAGCAGTATTTCCTGATCACTCGCCTTGAGCTAGATGTGGAGGAGACCATAGTGTGACAGGCAAGGTCCCCTTGCTTTTGCTACCCTTACATATTCTCGAGAAGAGTGCAGTTAAGAGACCTTACAAAGGACTGAGAGACATTCAGGCAACAACTTGTGCCATCAAGACAACTTTCTTGCATCGCTATCTAAACAGGGCACAGGCAGTGATCAAGGCAAAGTTAAATGGGTTTGTGCATGTATTAGGCTATCAAGAAAAAAACTCATTGCCAAAGATCTCAGAGGGGACTGAGCTCCAGGCATAGGGAATGTCCATGTAGGGTAGATTGGCCTCATATAGGAAACTGACAAAGGCTGATATTAGGACTCAGCGTACTCCTTGTGGGTTGTCAAGCAAGCTGCAGACCAAGTACCAACTCTCCTCTAATGATCTCATACCATATGATTATAAAATTACTTCTTAAACATTACTTTCAGCCTACCTCTGTGTGTCATACGAAGGTTTGCTCTCAGTGTAAAAGACTAAGAGGGATGAAATTCTAGGATGCATGAAACAAAGCACTTCCCAGGCCATTCCCAACCTCAGAGACAGACAGTGGTAGCCATGCAGATGAGCTCTTCACTGTACTGTTCAGTGGTAAGATGTTCTTTTGCCCATGGCCAACACTGGCTATGAGTACGTCATAAAGAACTTCTTAAAGTGTTTTTCTGCATAGCATCCCTCAAACTAATAAATCAGAAGGAATTCAGTCTTGGCCTAAGTAAGTGGGAGAAGTTGCTGTCTCAGCCACAGTAAGTGGTAAAAGTTATTGCTAGAATGCCTGGCTCTTAAACTGAACAGTTTAAGTTGGTCACCTGTAGAGCAGGTAAGATAGGAAAGAATAAGAAGCAACAGAAATCCAGGTGGGACCAGACTGCAGACCAGGCAGACTGACCCAAATGCTCTTACAGGCAGATTTGCTTTGTCACTACAGCTGTAGTTGGGGCCTGTCAAGGTGACAACCCCAAGGCCACAGGAATGGTCCCCTTGTGAGGTAGTAAAAGGAATTCCTACATATACTAGTTATTGCAAATAAGGGAAACCATGGGACCTGTTTCTTTGGGCCTGGCTTACTTCACTTAATATAATTTTTTCCAAGTTTTTCCATTTCCTAACAAATGGGACAATGTCATTCTTTCTGACGGAGGCATAGAATTCCATTGTGTATATATACCACATTTTCTTGATCCATTCATCTACTGAGGGGCATCTGGGTTGGTTCCATATCTTACCTATGGTAAATAATGCTGCAATAAACATAGTTGTGCTGGGAGCTTCAGTGTGGTCTTGTTTGTGATCATTTGGGTAAATGCCCAAAAGTGGGATTGCTGGGTCTCTTTGTTGCTTTGTATGTCCCTCCCCCATGGTATAACGCCTGTTTTCACTGTATTTGATGTTGGTATAATTTGTGGAGGGGAAGGGAAAAAACAAATAGTTTAAAGAGGGATACAGGTGGACCCATTGCAAAAAGGAGATGTTGAAAATGAACTTTATAACTTGGGTGAGGGGGGGGAGAAGGGGAGGGGAGAGGGAGGACGGGGCATGGTGGAAGGGAGAGATGGGAAGGGGAAACAGAGGAGGAGGCAACAATGCTTAATAAGAAATGCACTCATTACCTTGCCCATGTATTTGTAATACCTCTGTATAGTATTTTCACAATGAAAAATTAATGATAATAATAAAAAAAGGAATTCATGAGACATTTCCACTCTCTGCTTGAGGTCTGAGGAGGGCCTAAGGGCTACAGTGCTGTTGGGAAGTGCTTCCCCAGCCTGTTGAGGAAAGATTTCTGACCTTCACCCAGGTGCCAGTCTTCTGATTCCACTGCCAGACTCAGTGAACCTGGTGGCAGAAACCCACTGTCTTCAAATATAGGCTAGAAACCAGAATCCTGTTTAAGCCAGATGGTCTAATAAAAGCTTATTATTCCTGACAAACTTGTAAACTTCCTAAAACAGTTCTCCTATGATTCTTGACTACTGTTCTTTAACACATTACACCTGCTTCTAGTGGTGATGGCCTAGCTGTCTACCAGCACTGAACCTCTAGAGGCCCAGTGACTCCCAGGTACTTCATGAGCATCAAGTCTTACCTTGCTCATAGCAGCTCTAATACGGGTCTAAACTAGAACATCCCCATGTAATCCATAAGTGGCATATGGGAGGAAGGGATGCTACTGACCTAGAGGCTGAGCGTGAAGGGTGCTAGCAGCCAGCATTACCAAACTCATTGGTTTGAATGGTCTGCTTCTGGTTGAAAACTTATTTTCCCTTAAAGTACACACTTAAAAAGGTTATTTAGGGGCTGGGAAGGTGACTCAGTGGTAGAGTGCTTGCCTTGTATGCATGAGGCCCTGGGTTCGATTCCTCAGCACCACATAAGCAGAAAAAGCCAGAAGTGGCACTGTGGCTCAAGTGGTAGAGCACCAACCTTGAGCTGAAGAGCTGGGGATGGCGCCCAGGCCCAGAGTTCAGGCCCCACGACCAACCAAAAAAAAAAAAAAAAGGTTATTTAGAATGCATCTTCATACCTTACAACTCTGGAAAAGCATGCAAGTAACTCAGAAGAATATGATGCTGCACTCTGTCTGGACACCAAGAAAGATGTGGCACTGTAGGTGCCCAAATTTCTTCTGAAATGGCTAGGAGGCTCAGCAGCTCCACAGCCTGTAAGGCCTGACTGCACAGCCCAACCATGTCCTAATTACTCATGAAGGCGCGCTGCCCACACTTCAGACTGTTTGCAGTTAACATGCAATTCAAAACTGGCTTCTGCAATCTCATTCAAATTATGTTCAAGTAACACGGACTAATTTATCATCTGAATTAGGGCTTGTGGATTAAAAAAAAAAAGGTATCTAATATCTCTATTGCAAAACCAAACCAATGAAACTCCTAAGAAACGAAATTATTCCTTCAAAAGAAATATAGTACAGTTACTTCTCACCAACACCAACATAGGACACATAGACTCTGGTAACACTAGAATACTACCTGCTCCTGCCTTCCTATACCTGTACCAAATTCTTTCTACCTGCTCACAAAATTTGGGTAGCCAGAGGTGGATCCACAAACTTCTTTGTAAGGTAATACAGATGTTTTTCTCAACTTAAAACATGCTGGCTAGACAATGTATGTGTGCGAGAATGGGGTGAGATCTTCACACTGGGGTTTATTGACCAAGGCCAAGGGGTCAAGCTCCTGATAGCCAGGGCAAAAGGTCTGTTTGCTTTAGACTGCTCATTTCCCAAGATGAAGCCAACCTATAAGCTTCCTTTTAAAGCCCTGTGCAGTGTGGTGGCACACATCTTTCCAGTCTGGTCTCTCATGCCTTCTGTATCAACCAGCTTGTGTCTCACCATCAAGACCACTCCCCGAACACTCCTCCTCACCTTTTTGTGTGTCTTGTATAGTCTTGTACCCTCAAGTTGCTAACAATCTTCACTGAAAGCAGCCTTCCTAATATTCTAATCTTTTTTCCATTTTCTCCATGAAGTCTTCCATGTCTCTGCACTGCACTATCTGCTGTCTCTCTCTGCTGCTCTAATAGGAAGAAGCAGTGTGCACATCTCTCTCCTAGCTCATGCTATGACGCTCTTTGCAGTGTAGGAACATGGAATGTGCTTTCCATGAAGAAAAGCTTAATCATGTGTTGCCTGTAACTCACATAAAAATTGGGACACAGAAACATGTAATTCCTATTGAAGTATCCTTAACTTTCAAAGTTTCAGGCAAAATTAACAACACAGCTTTCATTCTAGTTCCTTGTATGACATCCAAGGCTACAGGGTGGCACCAAGAAGAGTTGGGAGCAAAAGGCACCATAGTGAGTGAAGAGCCCAAGTGACCAATGTGTGATATGGGCAAATCATTTGCCCGTGGCCTTCTGTTTGCACTGTAAACTCCTGGCCAAGTTCTGGGAGATTGTTCCCCTGGATACTACTGGATGCCTGAAGGGTAGCGATTGTGTTTTACATTTGCTGGATCTCCCTCAGGGCTTATTTTTTCAGCAGTTGCTCAATTAATACTTGCTAAACAAAAGAACTCTTTTTTATTTAGAGCCCATACAAATACAGGTACCTTCATTAGTGCAATGTTACTGGAAGAACAGTCGAATGAAAATAGAAAATGAGTACTGCTCACATTTCTTCATAGAATCATGAGTGTTATCCAAGCCAGTGCTTATACTGTCAAATTCTATCCACAACAGCCAACAGAGATGAAATGGAAGCAATCAGGAAAAAGGAAACATCCAAGGAGTTGAAATTAATACACCTGCATCTCTCTACTGTTGCTTCCAGAACCATTCCATGATCTTGTAGTTGATACACGGCGTTAAAAAAAAAAATCAATATATGACATGGCTGGGAAGGTTCAGGAGGCCTTGGCTTTCACCTTGGACAGCAGCACCTCATTCTTGCGACCCTCCTGGAGAAGCAGAGAGAGAGGAGAGGTGTGACTACACCAGCACCCACTTGGCCTTGCTGTCCTTGCCAAGTCCCTCAGAAGTAGGTTCGGACAGCTAAAACAGCATGGTGAAATTATCTGGCATCCTATTGACCTCTGACACCAAAACAGATACACTAACATTATTGCTGTGCTGCTAGACTGGATTTCCTAAAATCTTCCAGGGGATAGAAACCAGACACTGGGCTTATGAGGGTAAGAGGTGTGAAGGAACTGTGTAGAAGCACCCTAAAGAATTTTGAGAAAGGCAGCAGTAGCAGTACACAGTGAGCAAACCCCTTTGACGCACTCTTATTCTTACGGTGAGGGGTAGGAGTATTCTCAGCATTTAGGAAAAGAAGTATGGAAAAATGCACACCGAAAAGAACCCTTTGAACTATTTCTTTCTAGAATTAAAAAGTAAACTGTCTCCCTGCCCCTATTACTTGCTGAAGACCATATACTATGTACTTGCTCTGGTTTTTAAAAGCTCATCTTGAGATGAATATGAACTTCATTTTAGCTCTAACACACCCCACCCATCTTCCTCCTTACCTCTTTAAACTCTTTCACAGTCTTAAAATACAGTCTCTGCTTTTCTAACAGTTCTAAGTACTGGTCATTCAACTGATCTCTTCTCATTTTGTTCTCTTGTTTCTTCTTTTCCATCTGTTGAAAATATTTTGAAAATGGTGGATGATGAAAAGGCTCTGACAAAGGCAGCTGATAACATCCAATAGCAACCATCAATATTTCCACGGATTTCTTTCCACCTATAGAAACTGAGGTTGGCTCAACAACTTTCATTTCTTTGTATGACACTGCAATTTACTCAACAATGATTATCACTGGACATTAAATAATTACATTATTTCTGTCACTATAAGCAATTTCACAATAAACAGGTGGGTGTTTCACAACTGGGAGGTTATGTTACCTCTGGAGGATATTTGGTGATGCCTACTGGTAGTTTTGAGTCATAACTGTGAGGAAGAGGAGCCACTGCTTTCAATGGGTAAAAGAGAGGAATGTTGTTAAGATTGAGTCCCACAACCAGGAATTACTTGGCCCAGGATGTTAGTAATGTTGAGGTTAAAAAACTCCTGACATATGAAATTGTTTGTTATACAATAAAGATGCACACCACCTTTCCATTTGATATAATTGTCTCCATACTTCAAGCGTTCTACAATTACTTTAAAAACCATACAATAGTTCTGATCATTGCTTACTAGGCAATACTGGTTTTCTGGGATTATGATCACATCCTAGAAGCTTGATGTTGATTGAAAGACATTCTTTAAAGGCTACCAAAAGTTTATTCTTCAGTAAATACTGACTGAACACTACCAGAGTCCCCAAGTGTAGCAGTGCACAAGGTAAGTCCATGCTTTCACAAGGCACACTCTAGAGACTAATGTCTAGCGAACAGACACATTAGAGTTCCCATAAGCACCAGGACTTTGAAGAAAATGAAGAAGGGTTGGAGAAGGGTGGGGAGTGCACATGGCTCCTCAGACTGGAAAGTCAGGGGGACCCTCTGAGGAGGAGCACTGGAGCAGAGCTGTCAGCGACAAGTACTGTATTTTCTGAAGATAGACTCAGAGCACTGGCCAGTGGAAAGTGAGGGCACAAAGATTTACACTATAACACAACTGGATGCTTATTACATGAAATCATGAATGATGTGGTGCTTATTACATAAAATCATGAATGATTTTGGAAGCAGATTTAGTTAGTAAACACAAGGTGACCTGACTGTACCTGAGATTCAGTACTTTTGCCTTCTCTCTCCCCAATAAGGGTCTCTGTTGACCTCAAAAGTGAAATGCAATCTAGTACCTTGATGCATACTCCAACATTGTTCAGAACACAAAAGGACTTATTTCTTGGTCCAATTCTGACCCTGCATCAACTCCTGAGTCTCAAGTCTCTGTGGCCTCCTCTCTGTGTAATTCTACACATGGACACCTGCGTGTGGTTAAGTCTTACGTGTGGCAATCTGCCTTTTGCCCAAATCTTTCAGTGGTAGTACTCCCCACCTGAGAACTTTGGCCAGTGTCTTCCTGCACTAAGAATGAAGATCTTCAGTAGTCAGCCTTCCTCCTTGCTGACAGCAGATCTCCTGTGCCCATAACCCCAATACCAGCGCTAGCCCAAACTTCTGATACATTGCAATACAACTTGCACTGCTATTCATACATACATTGCAATACAACTTGCACTGCTATTTCTCCTTTGACTCTACTTCAAGCCACCAGATACTTCCTGTTGCACTAGGAGGGCTTGGACTAACAGCAAGCTTCCTCGCTCAGCGGATCAACTTTAAACCAGATCCCTCTTGTTCATTTAGTATTTTAGCAAAAAAACTGGCCAAGACCAGTTATATTCTAGTGATACAGTTAATGACTTCAAGTCAATTATGAATCCACTCTGGAAAGTAGAATGGCAATATAGGAAACATGAGAGCTTAAGGCCAAAAAGGCCTACCTTCAAATCCTAGCTCTGCCCCTCATTGTGGACCAATGGACAAGCTATTTAATGTTTTTCAATGACAAGTTCCCTCTTAGCTGTAAAACGGGGATAATATAATCTAGATCACAAGTTTTGTTGTAAGGAATGTGTGATGTTAAGTGTTAAAACAGATGATAGATCATTTACTTCATAGTAGCTGTTCAGTAAGACAGCTTTGCTTCTTAACACTCCATATGCCAGAATGAATGAGTTAAGTGGGAAGAGTTCCCTCATTCTGAGTCAGCAGTGCTCAGCTCTAGTTTCATTTTCATACTACTTTCAGTACCATCTTGCCACTCAGACCACTCCTACTCCTTCCTCATCTCCTCTTCACAACTAGGGTAACAACTCCAAATGCTTTTGCTGATTGAGCATTTGTAATATCCAAAGATATTACTTCCCTGGATAAGGTCAAAATGCCTACTCATATGATTCCCTCTTTATTCAGAAGCCCAGGTGAGGAGAAATGCCTATTCTACCATGTTTACTCAATGCTAGTCTATTATTCTGCCAATTTGGGAGGACACAGACTCAACTGTCACATCAATGGAAGCAAGACCCATCCTGGCTTTACAGAGTGGTTTCCTTTTTTCTTTTGTAGCACTGGTGTTTAAACTGAGGGCCTTGTGCTTGCTTTGGAGCTGCCCTATACAACTACGCTTTCAGCTTTTGGTATTTTTCAAATAGGGTCCTGCATTTATGCCCAGGTTGGTCTGGACCTCAATCTATCTATTTATGCTTCCCACACATCTGGGATGATAGGCCACTATGATGATGCCACTATGACCAGCATTTTCTCATCTGTAGAGGCAACACCACTTAAAGTTTTCCATTTTTTTGTTTTTTGTTTTGACAGTGGTGGGGCCTGAAATCACAGCCCGAAGCTTGCTAGGTAGCCACTCTACATTTGAGCCATGGCACTAGCCCCACTCATTTAAGAGACTCTTAAAAAGATCAGCAGAGTGGGGCGCTGGTGGCTCATGCCTGTAATCTTAGCTAGTTAGGAGGCTGAAATCTGAGGACTGTGGTTCAGGGCCAGCCTGAGCAGAAAAGTCCATGAGACTCTTCAATAAACTGCCAGAAGTGGTGCTGGTGTTGTGGTTCAAGTGGTAAAGCTCTAGCCTTGAGCAAAAGAAGCTCAGGGACAGGGGCTGGGAAGGTGGCTCAGTGGTAGAGCGCTTGCCTTGCATGCATGAGGCCCTGGGTTTGATTGCTCAGCACCACATAAGCAAAAAGAAAAAAGCCGGAAGTGGTGCTGTGGCTCAAGTGGTAGAACACTAGCCTTGAGCTGAAGAGCTGAGGGACAGCGCCCAGGCCCAGAGTTCAGGCCCACGACCGGACCCCCCCCCCCCCCCCAAAAAAAAGAAGCTCAGGGACAGTGCCTAGCCCCCAGACCACCCCCCCTCACCCCGCCCCCCACAGTGATTAGCCCATAGTGGGTGCACAATGCCTCAGAGCTGCTACTCAGAATACTACTGCTACTCAGTCTTTGAATGTGAGGCACAGGCAGTGAAGGGGTAGGGGTAGGTCCTTGCCCACTGCAGTCAGATGTCTGGTGGGAAACTCTCTGGAGGGTGGTAAGGGTGGGCAGCAAACTCCCAAGTCTTCCCACCACAGTGAAACTTGTGACACTACAGAAGATAGGTCAGCTGACCTTCATCCTGCTTTGCTTAATTCCTTCTACAATCTGTTCCATCTGCCGTAAAAACTGGTCCCGGGCAGCAGGGGAAGCCATGGCTCTGAAAGAGAAACCAACAGAGAGGTATGACAGCACACAGAACTAAACTATGAGAAAGCAGGACACCAAGGAGTCAGCTCTGGGTCCAAACTGTTGTCCCCAGAAGCAACTGGGCCTTTGTAAAGCTCAATGGACCCATGGGGACAGCTGGGGTCTCAGGCAGGATTCTAAACCTGTGAGGAGGGCAGTCAAGTCTACCTGGCCTAATAACTTAATATTGATCTTTTATTTCCTCATTCTCCCCACAGGTTCATTAACTAATCTGTATTTTCTTATAAAATAGAACGTAGCTAAAATGACAGACACACTGCTTAAGAAACGAATTAAATTTGGCTTTAAAAAGTCTAGACTGGGCTGAGTGCTGGTGGCTCACGCCTGTAATCCTAGCTACTCAGGAGGCTGAAATCTGAGGAGCATGGTTCAAAGCTGGCCCAGCAGGAAAGTCTGTCAGACTCTTATCTCCAATAAACCACCAGAAAACCAGAAGTGGTGCTGTGGCTCAAATGGTAGAGCGCCAGCCTTGAGCTGAAGAGCTCAGGGACAGCTCCCAGGCCCAGAGTTCAAGCCCAATTGACAAACCAAACAAGAAAAAAGAAAGAAAGAAAGAAAGAAAGAAAGAAAGAAAGAAAGAAAGAAAGAAAGAAAGAAAGAAAGAAAGAAAGAAAGAAAGAAAGAAAGAAAGAAAGAGAAAGAAAGAAAGCAAGAAAGAGAGAAAGAAAGGAAGAAAGAGAGAAAGGAAGAAAGAGAGAAAGGAAGAAAGAAAAAGGAAGGAAGGAAGGAAGGAAGGAAGGAAGGAAGGAAGGAAGGAGAAAACAGGCTTGATTGGGAGACTTTTCCCAGGATTGGTAAACATATTCTTTTTTTTTTTTGGGTCCGGTCATAGGGCCTAACTCTGGGCCTGGGCGCTGTCCCTCAGCTCTTCAGCTCAAGGCTAGCGCTCTACCACTTGAGCCACAGCACCACTTCTGGCTTTTTTCTTTTTGCTTATGTGGTGCCTCAGGCATGCAAAGCAAGCACTCTTCCACTGAGCCACCTTCCTAGCCCTGGTAAACATATTCTGAGTGTTCCTAACTAGGGCTGGGAAGCCTGGTCCTGTTGCTAGAGGCTTCCTAATGTGCTAACCATTTTGCCTCGCTCTACCACTGCAGAGGGCAGGATACCAGGAGGATCAGAGCCACACAGGACTTGGAGTTCCTCCACAGGTCAGGGTGACAGAGCAGGGCTCTTCACAGCAACCCTCACTGCACACTTTCTCCATGATCAGGAAAGGGAGATGAGCATCAGTTTCAGAAAAGTCACAAGACCATAAGGCATTCCCTGAATCTGCATCTTCCCAGGAAGCTAGTTGGTTTTCCATTTTGTTTTAAATTTAGAGCTTATAATTTCTTAAAATTCCAGTCTCAATGTATCTTTTCACCTGTCAGGGCTAGCAGATGTTTATACTACAGAAAGCAAGCCCTGGGCTTCCCTGGGGTTGAGTGGGGGTTTGAGGGAGCATGGGTAAGACAGCCCACCATGGACATGCTTGAGGGCTGGTGTGATCTGTGTGAAGGCGGCCTTACTATCCAATTTTTGGAGAAAAAAATTTACATCTGAACAAAATGGAGGAGGCATATTAACCTAGAAGAAAATCTATTGCATGATTTAAAAAGTCTTCAAAAAATTACAAAGATTTATCTAAACTTTATGGCTTCTCTATGTACTAAGAACAAATGGTATTCATCTAATCTTACCAAGACAAAAGTAATTTTCAAAGAGATTATAATGGTGATGAAAAATCAAGTTCTTTGAAGGGTAACTTTTCCCCAAAGCCCTTCCTTGTCATTAAAAAATTACATTTTTGCAGGGACTCAGGGACAGTAGACTAAGATCCATGTGTTCTGAGCAGAAGGGGTGAAGTGTAAGCATTATATTCTAGCACCAAGCCTTGCATGTACTTTCCTTGGTCATGCTATGGGTAAGGTGAGGTGCACTGAATACAAAGTACAGGAAGGAGGGTGGAAGGTACTTACTGTGAGAAATTCTCATGAATTGAGTTGAGCAGGCTAATCTAGAGACAAAAAACAAACTGTAAGATTAACATATAACTGCCTTAGGCTTTGAAAGCTTGCTTCCTCTCCACATATTACTTCTGAAATGAAGGCATGCCAATTTAAAGTAACATACTAAAGTTACTTTAACATAGATTAAAGTAACAACATATGAAAGAAGAAAAAAAGAGCAACATATTCTTAGTCCTTTAGACTTCTGAGAGAATTAATTTCTATCTACTCAAAGAAAACTCTTCTTCTTAAAATGCATTATCACAGAATCATAGAAAGAAGGCTCTCTAATGGGCCCTGAATGAAGCTGCGAAGATGCTATGATAATAATTATCTTCGTGGCTATCAGCATGCAGGGTCAGAGGGAAGAATGAAAACAGTTCCCATCCTATTCCTTTCCCCAGAATCTGCCTGCCAATGTGGCCAGCTGCCAGATGTCTGTGAGAGCTTCTGAGGGCATAAATCCTTCATGGCCCCATTACCATGGAAACTGCCTTATTCCCCAGAGTAGGATCTTCTATCTACCCTAGTAATAGAGTCCCAGAAAGGGCTGAGTCTGGGGCCAAAAAAACCTGGGTCCTCTTATGTATGTGTACATACTTAACCTGTAGGCTTAGAGTAAGGAACTTCCATATTTAGATTTTAGGTTCAAAATCTAAAATGTAAAATATCACATGCATAAATACAATTAGAATAAAATACACAGACAACGTTAAAAAGCTAAGTTCTACCTATGATTTGGAACAAAAAGCCAGCATCTGACTCCCTCAACACACCTAGTTTTCTTTTTTAAAAAGTTGCAACAACTTTGTAAACAATTTTGAAGAAGGGCAATGGAGCTCAAGGTGTTCTGAGAAGGAGTTGACCTATCCCTAAATTAGTGCTGGCAAATCTTCACTTTAACAAGTAGGCCAGAGTATAGAGCAGAGCTATTGCCTATGTCTGATCCAAATCTCACCAAACATACTATTCTATTCATTTATCAAATGCCTGGGGTATGCCAGTACTGTGTAAGGTCCTAGATATAGGCAAACACTAAACTATCTCTTCTCAAGGAGTCTGTATGATTTGATTGCATTAGATAACAAAAGTTACTGATGCTTTGATTTGGGTTCAAAGAGGATATATATCTATAATATTGTTACTATTAAAATCGTAAGTTTTTGTCACAGTATAGCTGGAAAAATGATAATAAAATAAAAACTAGGTGTGCCAACCTCTAGGAGAGGATTGGACAAGAACTAATATGTATTGAGAATCCATCATATGCAAAGACTTGACATTTTTTTCACTTTCTGTCCATCAACACAATTTCAGAGGGGTGGAAAATGGCCAAAGTGGTTCCAAAGCTGTGATTCCTCTACAATCCTGTTCTGCTGTAAAGACCAGGTCTGTTCTCTTGGTTGAGTCATAACTGCTTATTCTTCCTTAATCATTTGCCATTTGGGTAGTTCCTGAATCAGGACTAGATCTAACTTGTGTAGGAAAGCAAGAAAGAGGGAGAGATGCTAGTGCCCACATCAACTCCTTGCTTCTGCTCTGAGTTCCCATTCATTTGAATTGATGCCCATGTCTGTCATTGATGATTAAATGGGTATTTTTTCTATGTGAGCTACAATAAGCCACACAGAGTCTCTTCATTCAGTGGGTTCTTCTTATCTTGTAAAATTCAAACCAGCTCCCCCACTGGTGCTTGCATTATATTTTTCATGATAACATTCCCCACATGGCACTATATAGAATAGCTATCTACTAGCTTCACCTCACCACAGATAATGAACTCCCAAGGATTTTTGCACTTTCTGGTTGATCAATCTCAGCATTTGGCATTATGCATCTTTCTACATAAACTGAATGTTTACATAGAATGATTCCCAGGTATCAAGACCATGAGAACTTCCTGAAGTCAACTATAGTGTTAGTTGTTAACCTCGATTATTTTCTTTTGAGAAATAATTTCTTACCTCTTTTTCCAAATAAACCTTTTTATCGTCCAGGGTATTATATAAAGTGAAGAACTGTTTGGTTTCCTTGTGTACTGCAGAAACTAAATGCAAAGAAACAGGATATGAGTGACAGCAGAGATCAAATTGACCTATGTACCCTGTTCTCATGAAGCATATGCCAGGACTCAGGTCTGCCAGGTCTATGCGCAAACTTAATTGCCTTGGAAGCTTCTGAAAAGTCTCAGAACCAATTACATGAGGATAGCTATTGGTAGGACCCAGGTAGATGACACTATGTAGTAAGCATTATAATTATTGCCATAAATGAGCCAGTCACTATTCTCTGAGATGGCTAAAAAACTGGGTGGGATTGAGGATATTTGATAATGATGATGATGATGATAAACTGATGTAGCTATTTTGGTGCAGTTCCTTGAAAACAGTTTTGGTGTCAACATGTCCAATGGATAAATGAATGTAATGTGTATATGTATGTGTACACACACACACACACACATAATGAAGTTTTACTAAACTACTAAGAAGGATGACATTATGTTGTTTTCTGGAAAATGGAGGAAACCAAAGATGGCCATGTTAAGTGAACAAGTCAGTCCTATAAAGTCAGGCACTACATGTTCCACTTCTCATTTGTGCAGGATAGATGAAAACAAAACAAAGCACTGAAGCCATGAAAGTAAAAGAGAGACTACTAGGGAAATGAGAAGGGAAGGGAAGAGGGATAAGAGTGATAGACAGGTGAGTACGATCAAAGGATAATATATACATGTGTGAAACTCTTATGTACAATTTAATATTTATCAATAAAATGACTTTAACTTGTGAAATTTACTTTGAAATATACAGATATGCAACATTATTGTTGAAGGCTTTCAAGTAGAAGGCAAAGATTTAACTTAAGGCAGAACCTATTTTCTGCTGACAGCTGTCGTTGTTGACATACGCCTCTGATCATGCAAAGACTGAAAGTTCAGGCTGGTAGGTTAGGACATGGGGAATAAACTGACCTAGACCTTTTGAAGAAGGACAATGCTTGAGCTTGAACAAGAAAGGGTATTTTAGAGGCCACGGCTTCAAAGCCAACTTGGAAGTATATCTTGAAATTAACCTAGTGGAAACTGCAGGGCAGCAACATTCTGAACTTGGGGGCTGGTTCACAGGTCAAGATGCAGACGGATGACAAGACACTGAATAATGGGGTCACTGGATACTGACTGTACACCAATGATGTGAAAATCTGTACACTATACTGGGGATTTTGAAGCTTATCTAAGTCCCAGAGAGATATTAAATAGAAAAGCTTTTACAACAGGAATATAAAAAGATGATCAATGATGTCTGAGAAAGATCAGTCAGCAAAAGTATTGAGAGGCGATTAGACACGGAGTGGAAATGAGAGGAGGCTTCAGCTGCAATCCAGACAGAAAAAACAGACCTGAAAATTACTATGGAACAGAATGGGCAAGAAGTACTGAATCAGGGAGACTGAATAGGTCCATTGTGGCTAGAGGAAGATATGAGAGAAAACAAGAGTTAGCTTTTGTCTGGGGTGGGAATGTGGGGTAGGCTTACAGAGTCTGAGCTGGGTGTGGAAGGACTCTGTCTGATAGAGGAGAGGCGATCTAGATACAGGTACAGGAAGTTTATAGTGTGCTTAGGCACAGAATGTGGCCACTTGGACTAGGAAGGTTCCAGCTCAGGTACAGTAAGGAAAAATGCTTGATTCAGTAGGCAAGTGCTATAATTAGATGAACGGGTAAAAGACTTGGAGAAGGCACTGCAGACCGTCTAAGTCATTTATCTGAGATAAGATGCAAGTAAGAACAGATAGGGCAGAGGAAACAGGAGCAGAAAGACAATGGCAGGACATTATGAGCCACAAAATGTGGTCACTGATCAGACTGGTCTTGGGAGGCTGGGTGAATATGATGTGATAAAACAAAGTCTGTATCTGCAAGAATGAGGAACAGAGTGAGGAGTGACCTATATGTGCTGGCATCTTGATGTTCTGCATAAAACTGGGAAGTGGAGCCAGAGTCCTGTGAAGGACCTGTAGTTGGCCATGGTGAGGACTGGTTTAAAAGCCTATTTCTAAAAGCTCACTTGCTTAAAGAATCTGTCTATAGAATGAGTAAGAGTACCACAGAGCTGCCCCCAGAGTTCTCCTACAGTCTTTATGATGAAATAAAGCCCCAAATAGTCATAATATTCAAAGTACCTATATGCAAATGAAACCATGTAACTTGAGGGGATTGGTAATGTTGGGAGAGATGGAAGAATGATGGAAGGAGTGATAATGACCAAGATGCTCTGTACACATGAACTGATATGCTGAATTGAAATTCCTTTGTACAACTACTTAGGAATAATAATAATAATAATAAATGAAGCAATGGTACTCACTGGATACTATGTTAAAAATGAACTATACAACTTGTAGGTGGGATGAGAGGGAAAAACAGAGAGCAAGGGGTGACATTGTCCAAAAAGAAATATACTCTTTACCTGACTTAATGTAACTGTAACTCCTCTGTATATCCTCTTTATAATAATACTAAAAAACTTAAACTATGACAAATAAATATATAAATAATAAACACAGCCCCTACTGGGCTGGTATTTGTGGACTGTGCTCTGGTAAACACGGCCCCATGCTGAAGTGGCCAGAGCCCCTTGTCTCCTGTCCCTCCCAGCCTCAAGAGCTTATGTGTGGTCAATGCACCTACTCTGGCGGTAGAGTTCAATAAATCTCTTCTGATACTGTATTAGTTCAGCTCGGCTGGGCACTTCATCAATCTTGCGATGTAATATTGCTATTTCTCGATTTCTTCGAGCCTACATGGAAAGATAGGAGGAAATACTACTACTTGGTCAAAGGTTTTACATATTCCCCAGGTGGAGATTGCCCCAACTTCCATCTGAGCCCAACCACATTCCCTGAAATGAAGATACAGAATCCTGAGACTGGCTTCAGTTCCCCACTTGTGAAACTAATTGACTTTCTCCCTTTATAACATGTGGGAGAAGGTGTATTATAGATTGAACCTTGAATGGCATCAGGGTTATAGACCTGGGCACAGGTAATATAAGGAACCCATACCTGAATATAGAAAGTATGTCATTCCACTGTCCATCCAAAATACAGTCTAAATTCCTCAGCTTGGTTGAAAAGCACTAGTTTACTTTTTTACTTTTTAAAATTTCTCATGGACTAGGGAAATTTCCCTATGAACTGAATGTGCAATACAGTGAAGTGCAGTGATGCACAGGGAATAGCTACTGCAGGAGCAAACCAGTCAGCCCACACATGCCTCCATTCATATTCTGAAGGCTCAGGACACTGGGATCTCAGCACTGACTTCCTCCTGTGTCTTCATTCCTCCTGTCAGCCAATCCTCCTGTTCTTCAGGTCTGTTTCACTCACAGAAGCAGAAGTGTCCTCGAATTTACTCGGTAGCACAGACTCCAAGTGGAAATGTACTATCAACTCATCTAACCTAACCCAAAATTAGTTCCTTGCAACTCTAGCTGTATGGAAGCATCAAATCTCCATTTGGCCAAAGTACCTTATAGGTGCTTAGGCTCTGACTTTTATTTTATTCCCCTTGGAACAAAATATTGAATAAGTATTTAAGTTTTAATTTGCCTTAAACCTTCCCTACGTTAGCAGCGTCTTCTTACCAATATTTAAATATGCTCAAATCCCCGTCACTTTTAATAAAAGACCCTTCTTTAAATCTCATTACCTTTCAAGCCACCAGCCTGCCTCTTTACACACACACACACACACACACACACACACACACACACACACACACAGAGAGAGAGAGAGAGAGAGAGAGAGAGAGAGAGAGAGAGAGAGAGAGAGAGAGAGAACAGAAACTTAGCATCATCCCCGATTACCCTTTTCTCTCATCCAATCAATTTAAGTTCCTTCAGATTCAGGTCCTCATTCCCCACTGCCATTACATTTCACCTATCTTGCCGCCATCACCAAATTATTTTTTTAACTTCAGCTATCCTCAAGCTGCTCTGATGCTGCCCTTAATAGATTATTTCCACATAAATTCCCTTGCATCTTGATGGTTATGGGCATTCAATTCTCAACCAGTCAGGTCCCAGAGGCTGAGTCATACCATTTACTGTTCCTGAGCCCTGACCTGCAAGGTAGAAACTGTAGGGAGCTTTCAGTCTAAGTTCCCAAATATAAGGCAGTAGTGCTCTGATTTTATTTCATTCTATGTCTTGTTGAAGATTAGATCAACACAAGAATATATCTGACTCACCCAAACTTGACCCCCAAACTCATCAAAATAACTAGGAGCCAGAAAGAGAAGAAGCAGGATCTTACAGGCCTCTGCTACCTGTTGACCACTCTCACCATAGCCTGGCCTTTCCATCCCAAAGAATATAGAGGGGGGCAGCCTGAGTCAAAGTGCAATTTATAGCTCTTCAGTTTCTATGAGCTGGATACTAGCCAAGAAAGGGATTACAATTTTGTCCTGTGTACATTTAATTTCAGAAATTGTTTTAACTTTGACTCTGCATTTAGTTCTAGAGCTGGCTTTAAAAGCTACTTCCCAACATTTGATGTCATTCTCTCAAGTCCATGGTTATCAGATAATTTTATAGGGCATCTAACTAAAGAGGAAAAGTACTGGAACTCGAATCCTGCCTTTGGCAACTCAAATTCTGCCTCTGGGAAAGAATTTAACCTATGTGTATTCACTTTTTTCATGTAACACAAGAGACTTACAATATTTACTCTCTACATGGGGTGAAGTTAAACTCAAATGAGTGACAGAGAAATTAAGACACCAATGTGTGATGCTATTACCATTTTAAATCATGATGACTCTCCAGATAGAAACAGGACTGTCGGCATCATTCTTGTTACCTGATCTCTGTAGTTCTCAGACACTAAGACATTCTACTTCAGTAACTTCCTACCTAGTCAGATGTATCTATAGACTGTTAGTTCTTGTTACTTACCTGTAGTAAACGAATCTTATAGAGCTTCTCTTTCTCCATATTATACCGTCTGTCTAGATCTTCCTAAAAATGTGAAAAGACCAGAATTATTTGGGAATGAAAAACATTCATTCTTTGGTGGGGGACTCTTTAAAAGTTAATATGTTTTATCATATTTCCTATCTCAATCCCTCAAATTTCTGTTCTCAAATGCCCAAGCTCAGAATCAGGGTCTTATCTGACATGAGGCTCTTGATATTTTTCTTGATATTTTATGTTTAAAACTCCTTTCATCAAGATTCCAGGAGGAATCCAGTGGTTCTTAAGTGTAGGGCTATGAGCCCTGACCATTCCATACTTCAAATCTATATTTGGATTTTTTTCTGTCTTGATTTTTGTGTGTGCCAGTCCTAGGGCTTGAATTCAGAGGCTGAGCATTGTCCCTGAGCTTTTTTGCTCAAGCCTAATACTCTACTAATGAGCCAGCTGTACTTCTGGTTTTTGGTAGTTAACTGGAGATAAGTGTCTCGTGGACTTTCCTGCCCAGGTTGGCTTTGAACTGGGATCCTCAGATCTCAGTCTCCTGAGTAGCTAGGATTACAGGCATGCACTGGTGGCTGGCTTCAAGTCTTTTCTTAACCACATCTAGCTGGTGGTTTTCACAATGGATGGAGAACACTTTCTATCATAGCAGAACACTCTTTTGGACAGCACTGAGGTAGAGAATAGAGAGACTAGTCCCACACTGAACTGTACAGTGGGAGACATGGATGGACAGTTTATTGACTCAGAGAAAGCTAAAAGACAGAATGCATATGTATAAATAAACACACACACACCAGCTCAGCTTAGCTTCAGGAAACATACATCACTGTGGGAGTCCTGAGGCCCATTCTTCTGGCCTTGAAAAGGCCAACAGTTAGAGCTTCCTTCCTTCCTCTCCCATCCACTTTCTTTCCTTTTCCTTTCCCCCAGAGGTTTGTGGATGTGCTGAGAACACTGGCTTAATTCAGAACAAGGTCAGCAAATTTTAGTCTGTAAACTAAATCCTCTAGTTTTGGGTCAAACTTATCTCTATGTCAATTTTTGTAAATAAAACTTTATTAGACTATAGTTGTATGCATTTCATTCATACAGTGACTATGACTTCTTTATCAGTTGGGCCACAAAGCTCAACAGACTTATTACTTGATCCTTTACAGAAAAAGTTTGGTAACCTTGGTATATGGTAGAGAAAAAAAATTTTCCCTACACACTACACTCTCCCCTCAGAGCCCATGGGCTATGACAAGTACATGTGGCCAACACAGGCTTTTCCCCTGATTAGCTAAAATAGTAACATGAAAGCAGAATTCCAGCACACCGAATTGAGAGAAAAACTCACTGGAATGGTGGCATTGAGAGCCTTCCCAATAAGTTCCTGCCTCTATCTGAAGAGCAGATGTATAAAGTGGCATAATGTCCCTAAAAGCCCAGCAGACGAGGAGGCAGTTGTACAAACATTCAGGGAGGCCAGAAAGCTGTCTGGGGAGAAAAGAAAGCTAGCTGCCACACCCTTTATGCCTGTCTGTAGATGGGCAGGTACTTACATTGTAAGTCAGTGTGGAGGTCGGGGCTCCATGAGGCTCTCCATTGGAAAGGGTCTAAAAGGATGAAAATATGGGAATGTAATCAATACCTTTCCTGAGTAAGGGGAATGGAACAGCAGTTAAGAGTATAGTTGTAGACAGGAGTGTGAGGTGGGGAAACAGCAGAGCTAAGTGGAACCTTGACTCTTACCAAGCATATCTGAAAAGAGAATAGAAACAGTTATACCCTAATGAGCTAAACTGTGATTCTCTTCAGTGAAACAATCCCTTTATAAAAAGATATGCTGAGGAGAGAAATGGGACCTGGAACTCAGTGATCTGAACAAAATCGGGGTGGCTGAGCTGATGGCTCATGCTTTAGAATTTCCAAACTGGAGACTACTCAAAGGCAGCCTATGTGGTGATGGTCCCAGAACAAGCTGGCAATCCTGGTTCTTTTTGCATATGTGGTGCTGGGGAATCGAACCCAGGGCCTCATGCATGCAAGGCAAGAGCTCTACCACTGAGCCACCTTCCCAGCCCATGGCAATCCTGGTTCTGTTGCTCATCTATCCCAACATCTCATAGACTTAAAAGTCATGTTGCAAAAGGCAATCCAAAAGATGCTTTTATTGGGCTTTATAAATTAACTAAATCTGGACACTTAGTCTTCCACTCCCCGGCCTACACTTTGCACATTTGATCTGAACTCTTCCCTGCTGCAGTCACTTTATAATCACCCTGGACTTCAGGAAAGAACAATATAAACATCTTGTGACTGAAGACAAACTGACCCTAAAACAGGCAATGTCATCTTATCATCTTAAAAAAACTGCCAAAAACTCAAGAGACCACCTGCCAGGCAGCTTGTTTCTATTCTGTTTCAGTGGTAAAATAACTTTTCTGGAACTCCTACAGAGACAAAGACTAATGATCTACCAGGCTATGGCTCCCCAACTTTCCCTATTTAACCTGAAGCCAATGGCTATACCCCTGAGGATGGCTAAAGATGTATGTATGTACTCCTCCCAACTTTCCCTATTTAACCTGAAGCCAATGAAGATGGTTGAAGATGTATATATGTTCTCAAGTGCTGTCTTCCCAGGGCTGTCATGTAATAATCTCCTTTCTCTGCCCTTCACCATGTCTCTTTATTAGCATATGGGGAAAATGGACCTACCTAACAGGGGACTCCAAGATTTTGTACCTGGGTCTGAAAACCTAGTTTTAATATGGCCCAGCAAAAAGGAAGCCCCTGTAAGGCTGGGGTCTCCTGTTGAGGACAGTGGTCTTCCAAATCCCAGAATGGTCACTGGAGAAGACCAGGCCCATTGTTGGGAACTTGGAGGGCTCCTGGTACTACTAGCTTGGAAGAATCTTTCCCCTTCCTTGGAGCTTAGATTCTCCTTCATTTATGGGTAAAGGGGGTTTGTAATCAATGGGTCTACAGCTATTCCAGGTCTCCCATCCTAAACACAAGGACTCTCAGGAAAAAAAATAAAAAAAAACAAAAAACTCTGAATGAGTACGACAGTATGACAGGAACAACAAAATCAGAGAGCCCTACAAATTTTACTTAGTCAGAGAAAGACATATATTCCTATTCTATTATATAAGAATGTTCAATGGAATTCTACTCTAGTTCCCTAGAAGAATGACGGAGATTCATTGGGTTAGATGTGGCTGCTCTCACAGCTCTGGGGCTCTAGTAGAAATCCAACACTGCTCTCCTCCTTCACATTCACAGTTACCTTTTGTCATTAGCCTGAAGTAGAGAGGAGGGAATGGATAAACTAAAGGAAACTTAAAGAACAGACTATGTGGGAAACAACTCAGACATTTCCTAAATGTAGTCAAGAGAGGTCTGAGTTTTATGATCTGACAATTCATGTCTCTGGTTGCTCCTCCACATCCACTATGGCCTTTTTACCTCAAAAGGAGAGACATTAAAAATTCACCAGGGGAAAACAGGTGAGAGAGGCCCACTTACAGGCTAGGTTCAGTAAACTGGCTTTCACACAGATTGCTGGTTAATCCTGAAGAAATCATTTAATGTAGTGATAATGTGGCTGCTGGCCTTGAGGATACACTTACCTTTTCATCATCTCCTGGTTCTCTCTCAGCTTTGAGGTTTTCAATTTCCTGTTGAAGCCGTGCCATCTCCTCCTTGAAGAGCAATATAAACATTTACAAAAATCCGACAAGCTAGAAACTGGATCTTATTTTCTCTTTCATAAGTTCATAAGAGGGTGAAAAACAAACAAGCAAACAAAAAAACCCAACCTGGAATTAGCTGCTTGGATGCCAATTTCCAGCCTAGGAAGGTATTTTTCAGGAAGAGGGAGGCAGACATGCCCTCCATTAAATGGGGTTTTTCTTTCTTTCATCAGTCCTGGGGCTTGAACTCAGGGCTTGGGTCTTGTCTCTAGCCTTTTTGTGCTCAAGGCTAGTGCTCTACAATGTGAGCCATAGCACTACTTCTGGCTTTTTCTGAGTAATTTATTGGAGATAAGAGTCTCAAGGATTTTTCTGCCTGGGCTGGCTTCTGACCATGATCCTCTGATCTTAGCCTCCTAAGTAGCTAGGATTACAGGCATGAGCTACTGGTACTCAGCCATGAGGCCTTTCTTTCTGAAGGGCTAGTGAAATGTGCAGTAATAGCTGGCACAATGATTGGCACTGAACCTGGTTTCAACAGACTTGTTTGCCTCTTCTTCATAGTCTGCCTTGGCCTTATCTATCTGCTTAACATTTTCTCTCTACTTCACTAAAAGTCTCCTCCACTTGCCATCCTCCCTACATTCCAGTAGCTCCCGTGTGGGATTGACCCTTTTTCTTCTGAAGCTCACATAAAACTAGTTGGGCCTCACTTCCTGCTTCCAACTGTATCAGCCTCATGAGATTTAAAAGTTCCTAGATGGTAGGAGCTTGGCTTTATGCATGTGACAGATAGACATCCCAGGCTTTGGAGGGCACCCCTGGCTTTGTATGTTTAATTTTTTAATTTTTAAAAACCTTTCAGTATGTATATTATTTTATATAAATATGAAGAGGCACTTAGACATTGCACCTTTGTGTTTCTTTCCTGGATATCCTCTTTTGGTCTCATTGTGTATGGGTACCTAGAATCTTGTATAATTTGTGATATCCCAGTATATTTTAGATCTAATTTCTGCATATCAGACTGTATGCCATTTGTGTCTCTGAGCATTCCTCATATTTATATAAAAAAATATACATACTGAAACTCCAAGATATGGAAACAAAAGAGGCCTCTTTTCTTTTGTTGAAGTTTTTAATGATTCTGTTCTCTTTACCTTATGGATGATGCATTCAAGTGTACATCTTCAGAAGGGTATAGAACTTGAGAAAAAAAAGGGTAAAAAGTGCAGTAGTGGAGCTCAATGAACACTGACCGAAGTGTACTATACAACTTGTGGGTGGAGATGAGAGGGAGGAACTTGGAGATAATGAGGGAACAGAAGACATTATACTTATTATCTGACTCATGCAGTTGTAAGCCCTCTGTAAATGACCTCTATAATAATAATAAAGTAAATTTATTTAAAAAAACACCTTTCAAGACATTTGTAAATCAGATGATATTCTTGGCTTATACTCTCCATTTGGAGTTCTGGCACATGATTCCTATTTCACACACTCTGCTATCCCTCTTGAATCTGGCATACAACTGCTTGAAGAGTCTGCTTTTTATCCTGTACTAGACGGCAAGCCCCAACAGCACAGTGGAGGGAAAACAAGAGCTTTAATGAAAGTCCTGGCTTATTTACCAACACCCAAAAGACACTTACCCGGCAATGTGCTTTAAACTCCTGTTCCTGACTTTTCAGGTTTTCATTCATGGCTACAAGTGCTCTCAGGTTCTGCAGAATACTGAGGAGAAAAGACCAAAAACTGACATATAGTAGGTCATTATGGCTTCTTGAGTTACAGCTAAAAACAGAGACCAGCTAAAAAGGACTGCCTTTTCTTTTGTCTCCCCAAGAATGTCTAATATGTTCTCTACAAATGGTAATGATTTCTATTCAACTGACATTATTATTCATTTGTATGCCTTAGACCATCAGGGATCCAAACAAATATTACATTATACATTCTAGAATTAAAATGTCAACTGTGGAAACATCAATGAGTTTCAATAGTACTGGATATAATTAATGATGCCAATTATTCATCTGTACTCAGGGAATACACAGTATTGAAAGCCATTTTTAATATTCCTTCTGAAAAGAAAGCACATTGCTTCAGGCCATAACAACAGCACCAGCTTAAAAATAAAATTGTCAGATGTCTGACAGCAGTATCCTCCATTATCATAAAAGAAAAGTTTTAATCACAGGGCCAAGTAGTCTGCTACCAGTGTCCATTATTCTGGGAATGTTTATGACTTCACAATCAAGTATGCTGCACATGCCTTGCAGATTTTACTGCCCAAACAGTCAAACTGAAAGGGGCAAATGGTCAGTGCTGCTGCTTTTCTGACCACAGTTAATTTTACTTGGGGGAGAGAGGCACAACTGCAGCTTTGTCTGGACCCAAAAAACTGTAGTATCTCCTCTAAGGAGACAGGGCTGAATTACTGTCCAGTAACAGTATATAGCTCCAGGGAGGAGGAATGGGACAGGAACAAGAGGGGTACTTTTCCCCTCATGCCTTTGTATACTGTGAAAATATTGTTTTATTTTACGTAGTTTTAAATATTTACTTTGTAGTACTAGGGTTTAAACTTAGGGCCTTGTACTTGCTAGGCAGGCTTCTAGTACTGCACCATGCTGCAGTACTATTCTATAAAATAGAAAAACAAAAACCATGCTGCTCAGATGGAGGGGAATTGGGAAGAAAAGTGGGAAACTCAGTGCAGAGCAAGCATATCAGCAAGTAAAGCATCAGTCACTCATTCTGGATAGATGACTTTAACCCACAATGGGGCCAGACCTCCACTGCTCTGTCCCCTGCTCAAAACAATTAGGCTACCAGATCGTGGCAAAAGCACTTACTTCCCACCTGCTAAAACCTCTTACCTTGGATCAGCTTTTGCTTCTATCTTCTCCAGAGCTTCCTGCTCTTTGTCTAGTTTCTCATTGTGACTCTTCAACTGAAAGAGAGAATGGGGCATCCTTGTTGGGACCTGGGAGGAGAAGGGAGGGAGTGTTCCTAATTTCCTTCCTCCTGGCTCACACCTAGATCTTCAGTAAGTGGCCAAGCCCACCAGATTTGGCACTACATTAAGAAAAGAGATGGGTGAGATAAATGAGATGGCAGGGAAGGCAGAATGAAAAGGCCAAAATCAGATTCTTCTAGATATATATTTTGCTGCTCACAGAAATCTTGGCAGTAGCTTCAAATCATAGCAGCAAATGGATGGGAAGCCAAAAGTGGTGCCAAGAACAGATGCTTCTTGGTAGCAAGAAGAAGAATTGCAAAAGAGAAACAGATAGAGAGACAGAGACAGAGATAGAGGCAGATGGGTTTAAATCTCAAAATAAGACTGTCATAGCAGAATTAAAACTTTTTAGCCTTTTGAATAATTTTGCCATTTTTTTCCTTTTGATGCACGAATGAAACTTTAAAAGTAACCCAGATTTTGCTGCATAAAGTGCACTATAAAACAGTATGTTACTCCTATTTAAAATAGAAAGTAAAGTAGCTCTTTTACAATGATCTCTACTATCTACTGTTAGGAAAAGAAAAAAAAAATGGTGCTCTGAAAGTATCTGTTCTTCACCTGGTTTCCTTAGCAATCAGAAGTGGAATTTAAGCCATACTGGAAACTGGGCTACATGGGCCAAATACTCCCACACCCTTCTTCCCCCTCCTTCGATACCCAAGACTTTGAGCTTTTATACAACCTGTTGCTTGAAAAGTGGGAGTCATTCCTGTGAGAGACCTTGCAAGTCCTTTTATGTGCCCCTTCCCTCTCAGACGGGTCTTCCTCAGGGAGTAATTCCCACCTCAGCCCACAGTCATCTCTCCTGTCAAAGTCCCTGATGGCTCAGTACATGGCTACACTGACAGCATAGAGTCATATAGCATCATGTAACTGTCCTGTGTCCTCACGGGGCATGTTACCTTGGATCAGCTTTTGCTTTTATCTTCTCCAGAACTGCCTGCTTTGTCCAGAGGCATGAACTCTGAGGACAGGACCACATCTCCTTCAGGGACAAGTGAAACTTGGTGTTCTAGTAGCAGCACTAGTCAGAAGCAATTCTTGACAGTGGGCCATGGAGGAAGGAGGATCTGCTTACCTCTGCTAGGGTTTTCTTCGTTTCATTGTATTTGGATTGTAGATTAGTATGATTTGCTTGTAGCTGTAAATGAAAGACAAAAGATACTTCCTCTCATTTGACTTTTATCTTAAGAGATGGGATGCATATGTATCCCAATTTCACAGAAAAGAACATTCATGACACCAGGATTAAAATGCAGATGTATGTAAAGTTTCTATAGCTAACTAATCTGCCTGTAGACTACATGCTTCATTTCAGCACTAAAGATTCTGACACAGAGTATGAATGGGTAAATATCTGATATAAGAAAAGGTTTAAGACTTCAACACTCAGACAAATAAATTACTTTTACTGCTTAGTTTCTTAATCAGAAACTTACATCTTACTCTTTCTGTTGTTTCCAGTTGGCCCAACTACATACCCAGGGATTATTACATGCTGCTGGCTGGCCATCTTTAATAACATTAATAGGGGCTGAGTGGAATGGCTTACATATATAATGCCAGCTATTCAGAAGTGAAGATTAACCATGAGAATAGCAGTTTGAGGCCAGTCTGGGCAAAAAGTTAGCAAAAACCTCATCTGGACAGATAAACTAGGAATGGTAGTTCATGCCCATAATTCAGTGATGAAAGTGGTCATAGTAGGAGAATCTTAGGCACTCAACAAAAATGTAAGATTCTCCCCTATAAATAATTAAAGCAAAACAGGGCTAAGAGTATGGCTCAAGTGGTAGAGTACTTGCTTAAGACATTTAAGATCCTAACTTCAAACCCAACCAAAACCAAAGCAAACAAAAAAACCATTAACTGTAAGACAAAAATACTAACTTCTTCCAGATGTTTGGTCTTCTGTAGAATCTGCTTGTTCAAGGAAATAACTTTCCGATGATGTAGCTGGGAGCTTCCTAGTTTTTCTGGACTTTCTTCAGCTGACAGCTCAGACTGCTATGGGAGAAAGCCCAACGCATTCAATTAATTCACCAGTTCACACATTCATTCCCATACAGTCTGGATGAGACACTACTAGGTAGACAGTCACTAAGCCAGAACATCTATTAGTACTTCTTCAGAACCTCAGTCCAGAAGAGATTTTCACAAAATGACTAAAGTTCTCATCAACAGAATCTGCATTCCTGACAATGAAAACAACAGTAAAAATACATGGGCAAGGATGAAGACAAGGCTCAAGTAATAGTGCATCTGCTGAGTAAGCTAGAGGTTCTGAGTTCAAATCCTGAAACCATAAAAAAAAATCCAAAAATGAAACAGTAATAAACCACAATAATAAATAATAAACAATAATACATAATATGGCTGTGGTTATATTGATACAAAGGCATTCTAGATTCTTTTTATTTATTTATTTTTTTGGTCCGGTCATGAGGCCTGTACTCTGGGCCTGGGCACTGTCCCTTAGCTCTTCAGCTCAAGGCTAGCACTCTACCACTTGAGCCACAGTGCCACTTCCGGCTTTTTTCTTTTTGCTTATGTGGTGCTGAGGAATGGAACCCAGGGCCTCATGCATTCAAGGCAAGCACTCTACCACTGAGCCACCTTCCCAGCCCCATTCTAGATTCTTAAGTAGGGAAATAACAAGGTCATAGTACTATCTTCAGAAGACCATTCTGGAGTCATTGAGAGAATGATGAACAGATTCACTTTTATCAGATATTATAAGCAACCATTACAGTGTATAAGCACTCAGAAGCACTTACAATGAAACTGAGTCTCCTAACTTATTTTCCCCTACTATTTTTTTTTTCTTCTGTTTTTCTAGTGTAACAGAGGATCTACCTGAAAGGTCGCTGAGAGGCCAGGCAGAAGTCTTCTGTAACAGTATTTAAGTGAAGAGGGGATGAAGAAGAAGGGTTAAACAGGACATCTATAAAGACTTCCAGGACTGAGTGAGGTGAACAGGCAATGAGGCAACATTTGGAGACAGAATGGCCATTGCTGAGAAATCACAGACATGATATGAAAACAAACACTTGCTTTGAGAAATCCTGAGAAAAACAAACAAAAAGGTCTACCTTGTGGTAAAGTATTTTGAGGGTTATGAGAGATAAGGCTTTATTAAACAGTCAACTATCCCTCACAACATTTTCTTTTCTACTAAAAGTACCCCAAATTCCATCCTCATCTTTGATTTTAAGCCCAAATGTAACCAATTGTATGCTGACGACTTTCCCTGAATGTTTTACCATGATTATAGGCTTGCAAGTTTAGAAGATGTACCCCTGGGGAAAAGAAATGGGAAGTGAGAAGGAGGAGAAATTGCATGGTCATAACCATCATTAATTTTGGTTAAGGATTTCTATGAATAATTCAGTAGCATCATTAACAGATGAGTTTTGCTGCTTCGTAAGTCTGGAAGTGGGAAACAACCAGCTGAGCATGTTGCATTAAACAGTAAGAAACATCATTTTCTATCCTGTGGGCAGATAGTCTACAACAGAAATAGAAAACGTAAGCATTTGTATCACGACATATCTAGCCTTGAAACCTGAAACTTTGAAAAATGCCAACTAATATATTTCAACTTGTCAGATTTCTGGAAAAGGGAGTTACCTTTTAAAAATTAATTTTGGATACATCAGCTATTAATACCCTTAAGTCTGGGAATGAAGTGGTTTCTGAAAATTATTTGGGAGCAGAAGGAAAGAGGGAGGAAGAAATATCATCCTTCCTTATTTCTACATCACTTTCCAGAAACAAAATATCCACTTTGACTAGATCACCCTGAATTATGTCATTAATTTGGCCACATTTGAACATTACATACTAAATAGCTTTTTTATTATTTCACAGGGCCACATGGCTGTGGATATGTTGATAACATACAGGCAACAGGACACTATTTGAGGGAAAGTAAGGAAGTAATAAGATCATAGAGAACCTTGGTAAGACCATTGGTTTTTAATATCCAACTTAGATTCCTTGATACTGATTTCCTGAGCACTTTTTAGAAAGTAAAAATGTTCAGAACCACTACTTTAAGGGGCCTAGCTCACTTCAAAATTTATTCATTGACTAGAAATACAAGAATTTATCCACTGTTTGGGACAGATAATGGAGCAGGCCCACTAACAGGTGGTGCTTCATTTCATAATACTAAGAGGAGAAAGTATCTGTTCTTACTCTGCTACTGTATAGGTTATTCAGAAGATCATTCAAACACAGACAAAATGCTTTCATTACACAGAAGAAATCCTGTAGTCTTTTCAAACTTCTATCGCATCAGTATTATAGGGTACCCTCTAAGAAACAAAGGCTTTCAAAATACTTTCAATACTAATTAACACATTCATTCTCTGTGGAGTCTCTTAAATTTGCAGTGTAAAGCATTAATGCACACCAGGATACTCAGTGCCATTTCCATATTAAAATGACTAATAATACATATGTAGGACAATTATACATATAAATTTGTAAGTTCCTACATTTTCCTTGGGTGTAGCCATAGTGTAATCGGAAGCTAATTTGTGTGACAAGTTTTGGAACAGATAAAATAGTACTCCAGACATGTAGTGAAGAAAGTTCTCAACCTAGTTATTGGAAAGTGAAAATTCTATTTTTCAAACATATGTTTTTTTCAGCAGTCTAATCTTTCTTTTTTCAAATACCCCCTTAATGAAGTAGGTCCTTCCAGCAGTAAATCTCATCCAACAGTGTATTCACTAATAGTTACAATGGAAAAGAAAGCCAAAGATAATCATGTTGCATCCTGAACCACAGCAAAGCTGGGTAGACAGGAAAGAGGTAGCTTCTGAACCCTTGACAGAATTAAATACCATGGCATCTTGACTGTCTATTTGCAAAATGCAATAGTGTCAAAGAAAGCCAACCATCTACAAATACATCTTTTATGCTTATACTGGAGAGAGGGCTCAAGTGCTAAACTAATTTTGTTCAGCAATTTCAGGTTAAGGACATGCTTTCAAAACTACAATGTCGATTAAGATAAAATCTGATGCAGATTCAATGTTTTCTAATACTTGATAGTCACAACTTCTGTTCTTAAGAGGGAATAGATTCAAATGTCATTCAATAGTATTACTTCAGTTCCAAATGACAATGCCCAAGAGAAACTACAAATGACTACATTTACTAAAATGACATAATTTCACAACTGAAAAAGACCTGAAAGGTTACCAATATATTAACCTTTTTGTTGGTGCTGGAGATCAAACCCAGCGTCTTGCACATGAATGACTGCATTCCTACAGCTAAACCCAGAACTTCTCTCTTTCATTTCCTTCATCAAAGCATGGTCGCTGAACTGGTAATAAAAGGATCACTATCTTACAAAGTGTCATAGTTCTCCATATGGATTGGAGGAACGTCAGGGTCTGGAATCTTCACCAATCCTCAGTGGAAAATAAGTCAACAGATTAAATACAATATTTATTTATTCTAAACCCAAGAGCTCACATGAGTGCTATATAATTTTTTTGGAAGACCAGAACATGAAGTAGGAGTCCAAGACGGTACATGTACCCAATCGCAGTGGCTTTTTATTCCCTTGGAGGTACTTGTTAATCTTAAACTTTGATTTTTATAATCTAGTAACAACTGCCCCACATGATCTTGACACTGGTATAAGAGTAAAAAATATACAATGAAGCTGGGTGCTGGTAGCTCCTGTCTATAAACCTAGCTACCCAGGAAGCTAAAATCTGAGGATTGAGGTCTGAAGCAAGCCTGGGCAGGAAAGCTCATAAGATTCTTATCTCCAATTATTGGAAAAAAAACTGTAAGTGAGGCAGTGGCTCAGGTAGTAGTTTCAGCCTTGAGTTAAAACCCAGGCCCCGAGTTCAAGTTGCATGATAAGCATTAAAAAACAGCAACAAAAAACCACAATGAGACCTTGTAGCCCCATGTAGTCCTTCAATTTAAATTCATGCACTACCCAGATGGCCCAATTAAACTTTAAGTCAGGACTATATGTAAAATATGCTTGGAAGTAGCAAAACCATATTTTCCCTGGAAAAACAGGACTCAAAGAATTTCAACAAACATTCTAAGGGATAGCCAGGCGCCAGTGGCTCACACCTGTAATCCTAGCTATTCAGGAGGCTGAGATCTGAGGATTGCAGTTCAAAGCCAGTCTGGGCAGGAAAGTCTGTGAGACTCTTATCTCCAATTAACCACCAGAAAACCAGAAGTGGTGCTGTGGCTCAAGTGATAGAGTGTTCATCTTGAGCTGAAGAGCTCAGGGACAGAGCCCAGACTCAGAGATCAAGACAAAAAAAAAAAAAAAAAATCTAAGGGATATATGGTGAATTCAAAGTGAAAACTCAAAAGCACAAAAGTCAATATATCATGTCCCAAAACCAGTGAAAACAACAAAATGAGTGCTGTAGCCAAACACACATGAGACAATTGAAGTTATCTTTATCCACTGCTCTTACAGCTGTATTTTCTACAAGAAGTTGATATGTTTCAAAATGGTAGCTGCTGTCCTCTGGACATCATAGTTTGTACATGACATTTTAAAACCTGAGCACTGCAGACTGATAACACAGGGCTATCTACTTTCCCTCATCTACACACAGTCCCACTATGAAACGAAATATGCAAATACACCTTTCAACATTCTTGACTCCCACAAATGAAACTATGAATTGCAAAGATTCATATTTATACAATCTTATGGACTCTAGGGTTCATTCTGAACTCCACGGTAAGCAACAAAGTAAGTCTGCTTAGGATACAATGAATCTTTAAGGTGTGAATGGAATCTAGCAAACTGCCTATGGGTAACGGAATCTTCTGAAATAAAACATTTTACACTTAAGTTCTCTGGTGGTGCGCTAAGTGATATTCAATCCAACAAGGCTAATAATGTATCTTTATGTAAGTGATGAAGATCTTGAAATTTACAATTTGTATGTGTAACTTGAACAATCCACTAGGTTAACAATTCATCAGCTGAGACAATTCTT